AAATCCAGTGTGTTTCCTAAAAGGCAAGATATTCATGCTCTTAAAGAGAAGTGGAGCCAGGCATGACGGCTTGCACCTGTAGTCCCAGCTACTTGGAAGTCTGAGGCAGGAGGATCGCTTGAGCCCAGGAGTTCGAGGCCGCAGTGAGCTATGATGGTGCCACTGTACTCCAGCCTGGGTGACAGAGTGAGACCCCATCTCTAAAATTTTTTTTTTAAAAAAAGGAGTGGACATCTCTTTATACCCCCCAACCATCCAAACTAAAGTCATTCCCTCCTTTTTCTCTCTCATGGGCCCCTCATATCACAATTTTTGAATCTATTCTTATTTGCATAATTACTTATATAATGTTTTCCTCTCCTATTAGATTGTAGGTGCACAACGCAGGGACTATATCTGCCTTGTTGACCACTGGACCCAGTATACAGTAGATGCCCAATAAATGCTTTGCCAGATGAAAATATATATATTATATAATATATTCAATAGGATTTAAATTTTCAGCTTTAAATAATGTTTACTTATAAATAACTTTAATTTGTTTATTTAAATTAAATTCAAGCGATCAAAATATTTACTTTAAATAATTTCATTAACAATTATGATGTTAACTATATAATCAGTATTGTATGGTTTTATTAAGAGAAATTCAAATGTTTTCAAAGAAAAACGTTTTTTTGAAAAATAATTTTCATTTGTGCTCTATACTCTATAAGCTACCAGGAGCGTCCCGACCTGGCTGAGGGAGGCCACAGGCAACCTCGTTCCCCTCTCTCCAGCCCAGTTGAATTTCCAGATTCAGGGACGTTCCCTCTGGAGTCCGACTCTATCCCGCCAGGGGGCGCCGCTCCTGTCATGCCTCTTCCTGACCGCCAGGTGGCGCAAGGCGGACCAGCGCGACCTTCTGGAATCTCTATTATCCTCCCAGCGTCCTGAGCGACCCGGAAGCCGTGGCTGGAGAAGCGGGCAGTGCTTCCGGGGGCGAGCAGGGTGACCCTCGGCGGCCGTGGGAACCTGCGGCGACGGCAGCCATGGGGGCGCACCTGGTTCGCCGCTACCTGGGCGATTCCTCGGTGGAGCCCGACCCCCTGCGGATGCCCACCTTCCCGCCCGACTACGGCTTCCCGGAGCGCAAGCAGCGCGGTGAGCCCCAGTGCGCAGGCGCGGCCGGCGGGAGCGGGGCGCGGGACCCCTAACCCCAGGGTCCTCAGGGCTGGGCTGGAGGCTCACGGCTTGTCTGTGATCAGCTCCGGCTGCGGCCCGGAGGAGTCCGGGGGACGCTCGTGGCCCGGCCTGAGTGTGCGGGCGTCCCCGGCCAGAGCGCGGCTGGAGCAAAGCCTGGGGGAGAGAGCGGAGAGGAACGAAGCGCTCGGAGCGGGGCTTTGTCCTGGGGCAGTGGGAGCCATGCAGGGTTTAGCACAGAAGGGACACGTTCCTCGTACCCTTGTCCAGATGTCTCAGCTATTTTTGGGTATGCACGAGAAAACACAGGGAGGCTTGCCCCGCGCAAAGTGTCCTGCGTGATGCTTTTATTTTACTTTATTTTTTAATGTAGTAAATATCACAGGCATATCGAGCGCCAGTTCTGAGCCAGGTCCCGATTTGGGCACCGCCGATGCAGGAGGGAACTCGGGGGATGCAAGCACTGTCTTCAGGGAGCTCTCAGCCCAGTGGGGAAGATAGTGGAATGAGACAGATTTCGGGGGCAGCACCTGGCGGGTAACAGGGGCTTCCAGGCTGGCAGGCTTCCAGGGGGCGGTGGCTGGAAGCAAAGACCCGAAGAAGGATAAGCAGGAGTTGACCAGACGGAGAGGGCTCCCAGGAGAGGGGAGAGCCAGCGCTTGGAAGCAGAGGAGGAAGGAACACAATCAGATTTGCTTGTCAAAAGTTCCTGCTATCTGCTTTCAGACAGCTTTCAGACAGGGAGACCACTAAGCGGCGGGGGTGCAGACAGGTTGGATTTGAGAGAATGTTGGGAGGTGGTATGACCGCTCCAGTGTCTGGGTTGTCCAGGTAGCCCTTCAGCCCCAGCCGAAGCTACAGTCCATTGGTCCACCCACCTCCTTTACCCCTGCCTGGGCACCCTGCTTTGCAAACGCCAGCAACCCCCTCTCCTCTCCCTTGCTTACCCTGATCAAACTCACCTCTTCCCCCTCCTTGGCACCTATCTCTATGCAGCTTCCCTCAGCTATATCGCTGAACCCCATTGTCAGTCCTCAGCTCTTACCTAACCTAGAGAAGCGAGAAGCACAGTTGATCAAGTACAGCTGATGCTGCCACCTCCTGAAAGCCCCTCCACACCTGGCTCCCAGGACCCCACCTCACTGGGGGCTTCACTGATAATTCCTCACCTCCCCTTTGCAGTGCCACAAGGCTCAGGCCTTCTCTCTTCGGTCCACCACTCCCTGGGCGGGGTCTCTGCTAATCCCCTGGCTTCCAGTACTGTCTGCGGACCAGTGCCTCACAGTTATCGCCAGCCGGGCCTTGACCCTGAACTCCAGACTCACGGACCCCACTGCCTGCTTGGCATCTCCACGCAGTGTTAACGGGCATCTCACACTCCGTGGGTCCTGACCGCCCCGGAAAGCCTGCCCCTCCCTCTGTGCTCCCTGTCCCCGTAACTGGCAACTCCGTGTGCTCAGGCCAAACCCCCTGGGGCATCCTGCCTGACCTCCCACCTCTAGGCCTTTGCACTTGTTCCGCTGCCTGGAGCGCCCTTCCCCCAGGCATCTGCGTAACTCGCTTCCTCGCTTTCTCATGCTCCTCTCCCAACACTCCTCTCTTGCGCTGTTTTTCTCCCTCACTCGTAACCATGGCCAGACATTCTCCCAGACGCTACATTCTATTTGCTCTGCACGTCCCCCCAAGGGCAGGGATGCTTGCGTGTCATGTTTACTGCTGTGTCCCCACCACTTAGCACACAGTAGGTGCTCCAGAAGTCCTTGCTGCTGGCTCATTATAAGTTGTGTGACTGCACGATACAAAAGAGGGAGGCGTCTAGCGTTGCTGACTGGAGCGCCAGGGGCAGGTGGCATCACGTTGCATGGGAACCGGCAGGGGGCTGCAGGTGGATGCCCAGGCCTCAGGTGAGGTATAGGGTGGAGGGACCGCGCTGGGCTTTTCAGCGTTCGGGGTGGCGATCAGGCAGAGGGCTCTTGGAATGCCAGTGTTGGGCAGCTCGGCCATGGGAGGAGACCTGGGGAAGGTGCGCTGCAGGAGGGGCCACAGGAAGAGAAAGAAAGCGGCCAGTGAGAGGCTGAGGAAGTCTAATGTGTGCGCTGGGGTGTCTGGGCAGTCAGTGGTGGGGTGGGGTAGAAGCCAGAAGAGAGTGGGATACGGGGGCAGGAGAGGAGGAGCTGGGCCTGAGTGAGATGAGGGAGTCGCAGTTGAGACGCGCAGACGGAAAGGAGCTAGGACCGAGAAAGGAGTCGCAGTAAGGCGGGTGGGGAAGGCTGGGTCCTAAGTGGCCCCTGCTGGGCTGAGAGAGGGGCAGAGCTGAGGTGGCCGGGAAGGAGCGCGGGATTGCTGGGCACGGCAGGCACAGGCCGGGGTGCGTGCCCGTGATTCCTGACTGCCCCAGTCGGCCGCCTCCTGAAGTTGATTTTGTCCGGCGTCAGGTTTTGCTGAGTGGGTGGGGCTCCGGGGCCCACAGCTAGTCTGGCCGTCCTTGGAGGCACGCGCCTGAGTACTTACAGGTGTCACTAGCTCAGTTCGTTACCTGACAGTGCATCCTGTGGCGCGGGAAGCTGGGCTCAGAGCGCCCACGTCAGGAGAGCGAGTTCCTGAGCTCGGGCTGTCTGGAGTGGCCGTGGAGGGAGGGTGTCCCTGGGGGAGCCATCAAGAGATACTGCCGTGCCCCGGCAGGGGACGGGAGAGCCACCCCTCTCCTTCTGGGCCTCAGTGTCTGGGTTGCCTTTGTGCAAATTAGAAGGGGCCCCTTCAAGACACTGCATCTGTCAGAGGATGGCCCTAATCCACTGCCATCTGCCACGCAGTCGTCGTGGGGGGGCGGGACGCCCCTGTGATGTGGCTCCCTGATGTCGCATGCATCAGCCCAGTGGGGAGCCTCTCGCAGGTAGGGCCCAGGCAAGGCCGCCTGGCTGAGCCCTGCCTGCTCCCCGCAGAGATGGTGGCCACGCAGCAGGAGATGAGCGACGCGCAGCTGACGCTCCAGCAGCGGGACTACTGCGCCCACTACCTCATCCGGCTGCTCAAGTGCAAGCGTGACAGCTTCCCCAACTTCCTGGCCTGCAAGCACGAGCAGCACGACTGGAACTACTGCGAGCACCTCGAGTGAGCCCCAGGCCCGCGCCACGCCCCTGGCCCCCAGCAGGATGTGGCTGCAGAGGCCAAGAACAGTGAACTAACTGAGGTTTCTAGCCAGGCCCCACCTTAGTCCAAAAGACACTCTCCAGGGCCCTGCTGGGTGGGCACAGAGGAAAAATCTGGGTGGGGCAGGGGGCTGAAGCCACCTGGAGGAGTGGCCCAGCCTGGGTTCCAGTGGGAGGCCCCTGCCCTTCCCTGGGGCTCACTGGTGGCCACCAGGGAGGCAAAGGGTGGAGTCAGCGGCCAGCACCTGCTTGGGCAGCCCCGACAGGAACCACAGGCACAGTATGCACGGGTGCTCTGGGACCCTCCAGTCCATCCACTTCCCAGGGCTGTGGGAGAGCCATGTCCTGGCCACACAGCCCAGTGACCCTTCTCGTGCCCTGCCCCCAGCTACGTGATGCGCATGAAGGAGTATGAACGGGAGCGGCGGCTGCTCCTGCGGAAGAAGCGGCGTGAGAAGAGGGAGGCAGAAGTGGCCAAAGGCCAGGGGCCTGGAGAGGTGGCTCCGGAGGTGGCTCTGTAGGGGATCCGTCCCCAGCCCCGTGGACCAGTCAGAGAAATAAAAGTCTCGAGGCCCCTCAGCCCAGCCGACCTCTTACTGCGCTGTGGAGAGGGTGGGAGGTGCTGCCTGGTGGTCCCCAAGCCCACATAAGAAATACACGGGGACGGCGTCCGACAGGGACAGGCAGGTTTTATTCCAGGTGCTGGAGAGCTGTGGCCCCCTGTCCTCCCCCAGAATGACACTGGGATGGGGGGCGACAGCCGGGCTTTGGCTGAGCGGCTCAGAGCAGGAAGGGGATGATGGGCATGCGCAGGGGTGGGTAGTCACGGAACTCCTTCAGGTAGCTGCGGTGCTTGCCCTTGGCCCAGATGGTCATCTGGGTGAAGCCCACCAGGGAGAAAAGCGCCACTGTGGGGAAGAACAGAGGTGTCAGGGAGGGGCTGCCCGGCCCAGATGGGTAGGGCCCTGCTGAGGGAGGGGCAGCAGGCTCACCTGGGAGACACTGTGTCATGATGGCAAAGCCGATCCAGGACCCCACCTGTGGGCAGAGGAGGCGGGAGGCTGAGGGCAGACAGGACTGGGCAAGGCCAGCTCTTCTGTCCAGCCCCACCCAGCCCTGTGCATGTGGATGCCCAGGACTCCGCCAGCCACCTCCCCCGGCCCCTGCTTTCTGAGTGGGGATGTGGGAACCCGACTCCAGTGCTGGGGGGGCCTCGGGTGAGGGCGGTGGTATGTGATGGAAGCCCAGCGTTAACACACCTCCCAAGCTCCGGAGCCAGAGGTCGCCAACTGTCCCCCTCCAGATGTTCCAAGTGCAGACTGCAAAAGCAGCTGCCGAGCCAGGTGCCCCCTCCTGGGGGCTGGCCCCTCCACATGGGACCCCAACCCCCCTAAGGGAGAAGGCAGGGCCACCCCTCACCTCGTAGGTGTAGTTGGGGCAGGACACCAGCAGGAAGAGCCACGTGAAGGGGTTCTTGGTGGGGTACGGGATCTTCCGGGTCTTGGACCCTAGCAGGCAGGACAGGAGGGGCGAGTCAGACCCCCCCAGCCCCCTCCGAGCCCGCCCCCGCCCCCGCTCCAGCAGGCCACTCACCAGCTGGCCGCAGATCCCGCAGGGCCATGTGGATGGAGAAGTTGCCCAGCTGGCAGATCTGTCAGAGGAGCAGGGTCAGCCCAGAGCCCACCAGCGCCCCCCACCCCGTCACCACCCCCAGCCTCCTTACCACAAAGATAGCCAGTGCCAGTTTAACCTGCTGGGCTCCGTAGGCTGAAGAGGAAGCAGGGGGATGAGACGCATAAGGGGAGGGCCTGGAGAAGGGGCGTGCAGGGGGTGGGGGGGCGCGGTCTGAGGCCACTTACAGGGGGGCGTGTAGAGTGGGTGGTTGATGTAATAGGCCATCCACGCGGCGAAGCCCCAGTAGTAGGTGCAGTTCTGAAAGGGAGCGGGGGCAGGGATGGAGCGGTGGACCCGCGGGGCGGGGCGGTGGGCGGGGTCCCGCGGGAGGGGCGGGGCTAAGGGCCGGGGAGGGGCTCCGCGGGGAGTGGGGGCGGGCCCTCACCTTGAAGATGTTGCGCAGAGGCATGGTGCCGTGCGAGAAGCGGTGCACGAAGAGCGTCTCCAGCAGGCGCTTGACGTAGTGGAATGAGTGGCAGATGCAGGCGAGGCTGGTGGGGAGGAGCGGGCTCAGCCAGGCCGGGCCGGCGGGGCTTCCACCCTCCACCAGCCGCCCCCTCGGGCCTGGCCCCACTCACTGCACCACCGTGTGCCGACTGGACGTGAAGTCGTATTTGTGGCCGTAGATGAAGGGCACCCGGAAGTAGAAGAGCAGGTAGATGAAAAGGGGCCCCGCGTACTCTGTCAGGAAGACCTGAGGGTACAGGGGGGCAAGGTGAGTCACCGCTGCGGCTGATGGGAAAGGGGGCTGCGGGTGGGGTCAGCACTCACCGTGACCCAGCTGATCTGGGCCCCCAGGTCCCGGAAGTAGAATGTGGCCGTGGTGCCCACGGGCAGCTTCTGCAGAACATCCTCGTCCTTCAGGGACTTGCCCTCTGCAGAGAGGCGGGCCAGGGCTCAGGGGCTGCCTGGGCCTTCTCCCACTGCCACCCGGGAGCCCAGGGGGTGGGCCGGGTGGACAGCTGTACTCACTGGGGTCCAGGCGGAGGGACTGGCGGGCAGGGTACCACTGCGGATCTGCGGGGAGAACAGGGCGGTCACAGCCCACAGCTTGGCAGGGCCTGCCCGCTGCCCACCCCACTATGCCAGGGTTCCTGGGGCTCTGGGACCCCGCAGCCCCTCCCACCCCCTGGCAAGGCCTCTGAGGCCTGCGTGGTTGCAGGACACCAGCCGGAAGAGCGCGGGCAGAAGCAGGATCTTGTCCTTCTGAAAGCCCAGCAAGGGCGTTACTGCTGAGGGCCACGCGGGGGCGCCTGCCCCAGCCAAGGCCAGAAAAGCCTGGGCCAAGCTGGGGGGCATCTCTGCAGACCCCTGGGGGGAGAAGCACGCAGGGTGGGGTCCCTCCCAGCAGCTCCTGGCCAGAGGGGTCACAGAGGGGCAGTGTGGCGGGCCTTGGACTCACGGGACTTGGTGAAGAGGTTCTTGATCTCCGCAATGGTGGCCTGGGGCTCCACCTAGGGAAGCACAGGCCAGAGGGACTCAGCCCTGGGGGAGCCCGGACCCAGGATGGGGGTGTGGGAGGGAGAGGATAGACTGGGGGCCAAGACTGCTACTGTGGGAAGGGGGAGGGTTGGGGTCCAGGCTCCCACCCACACAGCCAGTGCAGGAGCAGCAAGGGCCCTGCCAATGTGGGGACAGCTGCGGGCTGGGGGCTCCAGTTTTACCACACAGGCAGGCTTAAGCATGGGCAGTGGGGCCTGCTTCCCTGCCCTCCTCTTCACCCCAGTCCCAGAACTCCCCCACAGTGAAGGCCCTCTATCCTCCCCAAGAATGGCCCGAATCCCTTCCCCCAGGCCTGGCCTCCTCCCCAGGCCCTGAAGCCCTGCAGGGTCCAGTGAGGCTGCCCTGCCTCCTTCCCCGGGGGAAGCCAGCTACCGCCACACCCAGGGGCCACAGCTACCCCTCATGTGCCCTCTGAAGGGCAGGGGGGTGGGGCACAAAGGACCCAGCTGGACAGCTCCTGGGCCGGAAGGAGCGGGGTCCCGGCCCAGTGCAGCCAATGCGACGGTCCTACCTTGTCTAGGAAACACAGCTTCTCCCTCGTCTTTGCATCCAGAATCTCCACCTCAAAGAAGAGAACGGCCTTTTTGGGTTTCTTGGCCGCCTTGGGGGGCATGGGCCGGGGGAGCCCGTTGAGACCAAAGCCGGGACCAAAGCCAGGACCAAAGCCAGGACTGAGGCTGGGCCCGAGGCCGGGGCTGGTCTCCCGGGCCACCATGCTCAAGTTCATGTCCATGCCGCCTGCCGCTGGCCCTGCGGCTCCACTCTGCCCACGGTGGCCAGCGGCCCCAGCTGCCGCTGTCAGCCCCCACCACCAACCTCCCCACGCGAAGCAGCTCTGGGCCGGGCAGGCGCGATCAAATTCTGCCGCGGTGCTGGAAAGGCGCCCGAGCCTGCCCTGGCGCTGCCGCCTTCTGTGCCAGATGTAACCCGAGTGGCACCAGAGCCACTGCCCAGCTAAATATAAAACCGCCCTAGTCTGAGCACCCCCAGAAGCCTTGCCACAGACTTCCCTGGAGGGGCTTTTGGGGAGTCCCCTGGAAACTGGGTTAACCTGAAAGAGGCTTTTGAGTGGACACAGCCCCTCAAAATCACCAGGGGCAGGGAGATTCCCCAGAGACAGGCATGGCAGTGCCTCCCAGGCACCCCCTGTCAGAGCCAGTGGCCAGCAAGCAGCCCAGGCCCCAGCACCCAGCTCAGGCCTAGGCATTCACTGGGCTTGGAGAAATCCCAGCTATTTTGCGAATCTGCCAGATAGATCATCCATTTCCCCTTCTGAGCTGCAAGAGACACTCGGGATTACTTTCCTTGTGCATTTGTGTTCCTGGGGAGGTGACAGATTCCGGAGTGATTGGTGCAGAGAGCCTCCCTCTAAGTGTGGAAAGATCAGGGAACAGGGAAGTTTGGGGCAAGCACCCCGACCTCCCTCTCCACCCATTTCTCACCTTGTGGCGACATGTGGGGCAGTCTTCTCACCCAGTCAGCCCGACGGCGCACCCTCATCCAGGCCCTGAGCCCCCCAAAGCCCAGAGCACACATCCTGGGCCCACAGATGGAGCCTGGCTCAGCTCTCCAGAGCCCCCAGGAAGCGGCAGACAGTCAGTCAATGAATGACAGGGCAGAGGGGAGGGAGGTCGCCCCAGGGGATCTGACCCGCCACCCAAGCAGGGCAGGAAGACTGCTGGGGGGGTGAGGTCCAGCAGTGCCACACAAGCCATAGCAAACAGGGTGGGTCTCATCCTGGGTCTGCCACTGGCCAGCAACTACAGTGGACCCTTCCCACCCACAGAGCCCCCGGCAGGCCCTGGGCCAGAGGCAGCCTGAGGAACAGAAGCGGGCACCTGCTAAGAGCCAAACCCTGGGGCAGGCCCCAAGCGGGGGCCATCAAGGGCATGGCCACCCACCCAGAGCCCGGGGAGACTGGTTCACTGCAGCCAGAGCCCACAGTGAAGGAGAGGGCTTCACGGTCCAGCCAGAGAAGCCAGGCACCCCTCACGCCCAGTGACAGAGAGAAAGGCAGGGTGCAGAGTGGGCAGCACCCAGGACTGTATCCAGCCCTGCCCTGTGGTCACTCGGGGACCCTGGGCACGTCTCCTCTCTCTGGGCCTCAGCACAGGGGCAGGCAGGAAGATGTCTACCTCCTGGGAAATGCCCCAGAACTGCAGGCCCTAAGACGGAGGAGGCGGCCCTGCAGTGGCCTTGCCTCGGATCCTGGCTCCCCTACTGGTCTGCGGGTCACTGCCTGCTTGCCCACCTGTGACATGCACACCCGCGTCCTGGACGTGAGGGCAGGAGACAGCCTAGCACGCAGGAAGTCCAGGCTGATGGCGCCTGCTGTCAACTCTGGGCTCAGCAGGCTACTGAGCCCCTTTGAGCCACTGGGTAACAAGAGCAGATACAGCCAGCACATGGAGGGGCCAGAAAAAAAAGAGCCTGGTCACATCGCTCAGAGCATCAGGTCCCACCACGGGGACTTACAGGTGAGGGACGGGGGACACGCGGAATGCACCAGAAAGGGTTAGAAGAGCCGGGCCTGGGCAGGCATGAGGCCTGTCCTGTGGCTGCAGGTATATTAATAGTTCCTGGGCCCTGGGCGAGCAGTGCCCACATGCCTTCGAGCCCGTGTGGCCTGCAGGAAGGCAGCCCAGCGTCCACTGGGAGAGGAGGCCTCCGAGTTCCTGCTGAACCACTCAACAGCTTAAAATACAACCAGCCCCTCTCCCTGCCCAGCCAGCTGCTGGGGGAGGGCTGAAATCCTACCCTCTCCCCCAGCCCAGGCACCGGCCCAGGGCCCAGGAGGGAGAGTACCAGCCGTCGGGGCCCAACAGGCTGCTAGGAAGGACGCTGGGCTGCGGCAGGAGGGGGCGGCCGGGAGAGGGGCCGTGCTCACAGCAGCAGCGCCCAGGCGAGCTGAGGCCAGAGGAGAGGAGCCGCCCCTGCCTGCAGAGAGGTAAGCCCCGGCCCCAGGGCAGCACCCAGGGGCTCGCCAGGGCAGGGAGGCCCGAGGCCCGAGGCCACTGCAGCAGGATCGGTCCTCGGTGGGACAGCTGCACTTCTCCCACTTCCTGCCCCGGATCCCCAGACCCAGCGGCCATCTTCTCCCAGAGAGGACTACAAGGCCCTAGGGGGCACGTGGGACCTCTCCGCACTGCTCTTGCAACGCCCTGTGCCGCTGTGATGATTTCAAAATAAAAGGTAAGTGAAAGTTACGCCAGGTGAAAGAAGCCAGACGCAAAGGGCCACGTGTTTACACATGACGTCCAGAGTGGACAGAAAGCAGACTCCGGGTGCTGCGGGATCGGGGCAGGGAGAACGGGGAGTGGCTGCTGATGGGTACTGGTCTTGTCGGGGGGTGATGCCAATGTTCTGGAACTACGCAGAGGTGGTGGCTGCACAACACTGTGCAAGCACTTTTAAATGGTTAGTTTTATGTTACATGATTTCACCTCAATAAATTATTTTTTAAAGGGGAAAGGGGGACAACAAACAAGCCCAAATTACCCATTTCAACAAAAAAGGCCCAGGGCACGGGAGCAGGAGAGGTTCCCCACCCCCGCCCCTGGAGACTGAGGGCCTAACTGAGGGAAATTGTCACACACCTCCCCATCCTTGTCCCTGGGCCTCCCGCCCCCACTGCATCCCCTCCCACCCTACCCCTGCTCTGTGACAGACAGACAGACACACACACACACACACACACACACACACACACGCGCGCGCGCGCGCCCAGGCCTGAGGCCAGCAGCAGGTGGGGGGGGACCCAGGGGACACCCAAGACTGCGGCCAGAGGGCACAGGCAGCTGCTAAGCAGAGCCCCAGGCAGGGGGTCCTGAGCACAGAAGGGGGCAGCAGGCTCAGGGCTGTCCCTGGGAGAAGTGGCCACAGGGCAGGGAGGAGTGGAGGGTGCTCCCAAGGGAGCCCAGGGAGGGCCAGGCTGGGACAGGGAGACGCTCGGGATGAATGGAGGGAGGCCTGTGAAGGGGTCACCAGCCTGAGCGAGGTCCCAGCGCTGGCTGCAGGTGGAGGGTGTGGCCCTGCTGCCCCAGACACAATGCACTGGCAGAGGACAAGGACGAAGGCTGGGGCGATGGCCAGTGGCTCTGGAATGACAGTTCCACTAGCCTGGAATTCTCTCCTGGAGGCCACCGACAGCAACTCGTGGTAGCACAAGGTCAGGGCAGGGCCAAGGGCCAGGACAAGGGGTGTGGCCTGAAGCCCACCCCGCAGCAGGGGTTCAGGGGCCGGCCGGGCTTCCACCTGCCCAAGCCCAGAGGGGAGCTGCCACCGAGCAGCAGGGCCCAGGCTCCACGGTCTTTGTGACGACAACGATCTTACTGACGGAGGCAGGAGGAGCAGAAAGAAGGGCTCCCATTTTCTGAGCACTTGTTCTGAGCTAGTGCCAGTGCCCAGAGCCGCTGGGGAGCCGGAGCTCCTGGCATCGTCCCCAGTTGGCAGAGGAGCAAACCAGAGCAGCAGAAAAACGAGGCAGGAGAGCCCACAGCCTTCGCGCTGACTGCTCCGCCTGGAACGCTCTCCGACACCACAGGGCTCCAGCTCCCCTCCGAGGCCTTCAGCGGGGCCCTTCTAGGCTTCTATTAAAACAGTGACCCCAGACATTCACCGTCTGCCTCCCGCTAGAGCATCAGCTGCTGAGGGCAGGGACCGTCTGTGCTCGGCCGTTTCCCAGCACCCGGACCAGGGCCCAGTGTGGAGCTGTGCTCAGGAGCACCTGGGGAGAAGGTCACACAGGTCAGGCCCCGAAGCCCCCTCCTCCTCCCTTCCCTACCTGTACCCTCGGCCTCCCTGAGCCAGGGCCGTTCCCCCACTCCTCCCTCACCACACGCTGGAGGGCCCTGCCCACTGCGCCAGACCCCAGAGCAAAGGCGGCACCCAGATGCAGGGGCTGCCTGCAGGAGACCTCACTCCAAGGGGGCTTCTACGAGGCCCCCCAGACACACCCACCCATGGTGACCCTACAGCAGCACTCTGACTACCAGACCCTCCCCCCTGGCTCTGGGGCACCCCTCATGGAGGGAAAGGGTCAGCTGACCAGGCTGCGGGGACTCCAGCTCCCCGGGAAGCTGGGCTGTCCTTCACCGGTAACTCCAACCTGCTGACCAGCTCTACGTGGCCTGGGCCCTTGAAAGCGGCACCACAGGCACAGCGGCCCCTCCCGAGGACGGCGAGGCCTCGGGGGCCAGTGGTGGACCTGCCTCCCGTTTCCCGGGTACACAGACTCACCTATTTCCTGGCTGTGTGGCCCTAGACAAGTTACCCAACCTCTCTGAACCTCCGTCTGCAAAGTGGCTGTCCCCACCTGCCAGCCCAGAGTTACTTATAAGAATTACAGGGATGATAACAAAAAGAAAAGTACACAGCCATCCCCAGTCTGCAATAAATACTAGAGGTAAATATTATTTGATCGGTAGCAGCGGAATAGCTGTGCCAGATGCACAAGACGGCCAGGCCTGGCCCTTCTCCTGAAACCCTGGCCATGGCCTCGAAGGGGCCCATCCATAGGACACCAGGGTCAGAGAGCTGGTGCGATGACACCCCACCCAGCTG